TAAGAAATTAAAAAAAAAAAAAAAAGGAGACAAGGTCTCCTTATGTTGCCCAGGCTGGTGTCTAACTCCTGGGCTCAAGTGATCCTCCCACCTCAGCCTCCCAGGCTGCTGGGATTACAGATGTGAGCTTCCATGTCCAGCCTACAATTTTTGTTTTTAGAATTAAATATATTCTGTTTATAAAAGGCAGCAAGTTAAAAAGAAGACTAATTAGAATCTACATTTCTAGATTTTATTTTTATGCGTACTGTTGATATGATACTTTTTTTTTCTTTTTCTTCTGTAGTTTATCCATACTTAAGGTTGAAACTGTGAATTGAATGACATGGAAAGGGAGATAATTTCCGAGACAGAAAGATTGTGCCAATATATAGGACTTCCTTTCTCTGATTTGGAGTTTAAACACCTTGGCTATGGGAGGGAAAGCAAATATGTTATAGCTCCAGTTTCCCTTTAGTATTAGAAAACTCAGTATTTCCAGCTAAGGGAATCTAGATTAGAAATCAGAAGACTGCAATTATGAGAGTGTCATTAGAGAAATAGGGCTGAATAAGCAGTCTTCTTCATCAGCTTTCTGTAATAAGCATCCTTGAGTTTAGCTTTGTTGTGTTCGCTTTAAGGAAACTTTTATTGGTAGTGGTGTGATTGTCAAATCAGGAGGATGGGAAGGTTTTTTCTTTGAAAGGGGACATGTGAGTCTTTGTGATTGGGGAGAATATAGAAGGGGAAAGATTGCTACTGCTCATATGTGAAGAAAGAGAAAGATGTTTGTGGTGCATATAATAGTACAAGTACTAAATTGGACTTTAAAATATGTTAGCCTGTTTTTACAACCATAACGCCTTTTGTTTGCTCTTCGGTTTGCCTTTTTGTTTATTTTTTTATTTATTAATGATTGCGACATCCACGAGTCCCACCATGCTTCGCCCCAGGCCTAGGGTGTTAGTGACGCCATCTGGTTTCACTGCAAGCTCCGCCTCCGGACTTTCAAGCGTTCTCCACTGCCTCCGCCTCCTGAGTAGCGGGAACAGCGCACCACCCACCCACGCATGGCCAGCTAATTTTTTTGTATTTTTAGTAGAGACGGGGGTTCACCATATTTAGCCAGGTGTCCTCGATCTCCCTGACCTCGATTCCGCCCGCCTTGGCCTCCCAAGTGCTGGAATTACAGGCGTGAGCCACCCGTGCCCTGCCAAACATAAAGTTTTATAGTTGGTTAAAGTACCTTTAAAAACATATTGAAGTGGTACTGAGTTCTCATACTTTATTATATTTTAAAGTATAATATTACTGCATAACCAGACTTAAAACCTGGTTCATTTAAACAGGACATATACCAGAAAGGAAATTTTTTGGGTATTTACATGGTATTGTTTGATTAAACTAGAATGCCTGGACTGTTACCAGCCTTGAATTTTTATTGAAATTTTAGAATATTTGGAGAAGATTCCTCTGCTCCTGCAAAAAATTTAAGTTGAAAAGTTATTTTTTAATTATTATGCATTGATAGCAAAACCATGTGTGATCAGGTTGAAAAGTTAACATTTGATTATATGCCTTGATAGCCATAACCATGTGGCTCAGTTTCTCTGTGCAAATCGTGTTTAGTTTTAAAGTTGATAAACCTAATGCTGTAATGTGCCTAATAGAATGATTTTCATTTGTTCCAATTTATTTTATTGGTTTAATAATAGATTATTCTGATTAGTCTTTATTATTATTTTTTTTTAATTAAAACATTTTTAATAAAAAGAGATGGGGGTCTCACTATATTGACCAGGCCCGTGACGGAACTCCCGCCTCAAGTGATCCCCCCCATCTTTGGCCTCCCAAATGCTGGGGTTACAGGGGGTGGAACACCAGGCCCCAAGTGCTATTGTTATTTTTATTTTTGAGGCAGGATCTTGTTTATATTGCCCCAGGCAGTTTGGGACTCCTGGGCGCTCCAGGGGTGCCTCTCTGTGATTACCAGGTGGTGCCCTACTGTGCCAGTGGTTATAGAATCTTTTTGACGAAGCAGCTGGTGACATCGACAGTTTATTTGATAGCTGGTGCTGCCTATTATTTTTTGATAAACCTCCCTATATTATAGTCGGGCAACCTTGAGAATGAATTTTGTGAATAATTTTATTTTGACAGATCTGTAAAACAGTTTTACATTTGGATTTAGAAGTTCATGTGTTGGTTTCCATCTAGGTTTTTTTTGTTTGTTTGTTTTTAAGACAGGGGCTCACTCTGCACCGCAGCGCCTGAGTGCAGTGGGATCTCAGCTCACTGCAGCGCCTCCTGCCCTCCTGGCTGAATGTCCTCTCCCACCTTAACCCCTCCCCAGTGGCCTAGGACCACAGACACGTGGCCAACCATTCCTGGCTTTATTTTTTTTTTTTTTTTGTATTTTTTCGTTCTCTTCTCTCTCTCCATCTCTCTCTCTATATATATAATATATATATTGTGTGTATTTTTTTTTATTTTTTATTTTTTTTAAAAGTACCAGATAGGGGTCTCGTTATGTAGCCCGGCTGTTCTCCAAATTCCTGGAGCTCACAGTCCCACTGCCTCAGCCCTCCCCAAAGTATGGGATTACAGGTGTGAACCACCATACCTGGGCTGTTTTAGGTTTTTATTTAAAAATCAGGTAAGCAAGATATGTTTTATTTTAAGATTAGTGGTAAAAGGATTTATTTTAAATCAATGCACAGCCCATTTTGGTTTCATTTATTTATTTAAAAATTTTTAGAGTGGGGTCTCCTTTGTGTTTTGCCCGGGGCAGCTCTAGAACTTCTGCCCAAGCGATCCTACATGCCCTTCAGCCTCCCCAGTAGCTGGATACAAGCCCTGTGCTGCTGCACCTGGCTCATATTTCCACTTTTATTTTCACAAACTTTCTTAGTAATTGAGAACATGGAACTGGAGATTTATATGCCCTTTTCTTTTAGGAAACGAGACCACTTACATGGGATTTTGGAGCTTGATTATATTTGTCCGGCACTGATTCTCTGTTCTTAGGCACAATATTGTGAGATATTTTTATTTATTTTTTTGAGGCAGAGTCTTTGGCTTCTGTCCACCCAAGGCTGCAAGTACAGTTGTGGTGGGATCATAGCTTACTACACTGTCAACCTCCTGGGCTCAGTCAATCTTCTAACTTTCAGTCTCCCAAGTAGCTGGGGACCACAGGCGTGTGGACCACACCCAGGCCCAGCAAATTTTTTTGTTTTTTGTTTTATGTGGAGATGGGGTCCCACTATGTTTGCCAGCTGGTCCCTCAACTCCTGGCTCAAGTGATTCTCCCACCTTGGCCTCTCAAAGTACTGGGATTACAGGGCATGGCCACTGCCACCCAGTCTGTGAGATCAAGGAGTTTCATATCATGCTTGTGTCGCAGGATGAAGATAACTATATGGAAATCAGACTTTAATTCTTGAGCTTATTACCTGTTGTTTCACAGTTATTCCTACACATTTTAACTTCCTAATTTATATAATTTAGCATGAGTTAATTTAGCAACATCTTTGTTGGCCAGTATCCTTTAACTCTCTTGACCCTTTTTGTTTACACCAGTCTGATAAAATTCCACACACTTGATCAGTCTCATATTCCTGTATATCTTGTGAGCACTACTAGACGATGTAAAGAAATTCCTGTGGAAAACAAAGTCATGTTTGCCAACCTCAGATGGGACCTCAAAGCTTTCCAGGAATCCTCCCACCCATCTGCTCATTTTTCCTTTCTTGCACCTTCTGAAGCCTCCCACCCCAGTGCTCTCTTAACTCATGTAAACTTGTTGCCTGGAATCATTCAGATGGCAGCTCCCTCATTTTTGACTACAAGCCGAAAAATCGACTTATATCAGCATCCATTCTTTCCTTCTCTTCTCCTGGTGCAGTAAAATAGATGTCCCCCAGAACTGTCCAGGGTTAATCCATCTTCCTGGTGCCCTGGATCTTATCTCTTCAGGCTGTCTCTGGGATCTCAGCCCTAAAGTTATCTCTACTTTTTTCTTTCCAGAGGTTCTGTCTCTGGGATCTCAGCCCTAAAGTTATCTCTACTTTTTTCTTTCCAGAGGTTCTAAGACATGCTTTAAACTCTCATCTTGAAAAACAGCCAGCCAGAAAATCCTTTGATGCCACATCCCTCTTTATCTTTGACTTCAGAGTCAAAGTCCTTGAGTTGTCTGTATTTGTTGCCACTTTTATGTCCTGCTCACTTCTTAACTCACTGTACTTTGGCAGCTTTTGTCTGCTTAGTCACCGGTAACCACATTGATGCTAATTTGAATCAACAGATCTCCTCTGTATCTTGCTTTCTCTTTGGCATTTGTCATGTTGATCATTTTCTCCTTCACTTTCCTTGGCTGAGTTATACCATACTCGCCCCCCAACCCCACCCTCTTAGTCGTTCTCAATGTTCTTTGCAAGATATCTTTCTTGTCTATCCCTTAAATATTGGTGACCGTCAGGACTACCAGGCCTTGGTTCTCTTCTTGTTTCATTCTACATGCAGCTCCTGGTGTATAGTCTGTGATGGTGAGATCCCTGTCTTGAGCTTCATATTGATAATTTTAAATACCTTTTGGATTGTTCCACTTGAAGTTACTACAAATAATCAATTTTAAAATGTTTTGCACGCCCATAATCCCAGCACTTTGGGAGGCTGAGGCAGGTGGATTGCTTGAGGTCATGAGTTCTAGGCCATCCTGGCCAACATGGTGAAACCTTGTCTCTACTGAAAATACAAAAAATTAGCCAGGTGTGGTGGTAGGTGCCTGTAATCTCAGCTACTCAGGAGGTTGAGGCAGGAGAATCGCTTGAACCTAGGAGGCAGAGGTTGCAGTGAGCCAAGATCATCCCGCTACACTCCATCCTGGGTGACAGAGCAAGACTTTGTCTCAAAATTAAAATAAAATAAGTAAAATGTTCCATACTCAGTCAACTCCCCTACCTTGGTGCACCTTGCAACCCACACCCCCAGTTTGTCCTCCTGTGTTCATTATCTCTGTGAATGGTTCCTTTATCCAGCTATTTTTTTTAAGCCAAAGATTTGGAAATATCCTTAACACCTAATCCATCTACATTTTTCTTATACAATCAGTCAAGCCCTGTAGAATCTGTCTTCTGAGTAATTTTAATGTATTTCCATTTGTCTTTTCAGTAGTGCTGTTACTCTGTTGAAATAGCCTTTTAACCTGTGTCCCTGTATTTAATCATGCTTGTCTTCAACTTAAACAATACTGCCAGAGGGACCATTTTAAAAGGCAGATTAGGATAAAGTGTGAATTCTTCCCAATGCATTTTACTGTACTTTTCTAGTCTCTCATCACTTTTCCTCCTCCCTGCAGTAGTTGCCTCCCTAAACTTTAGCTGTATCTAACGTCTTTCCATTTATACAGTAAGAAATGCTTTCTTATTTCCAAGCCATTTCACAAGCTGTTCAGGCAGCGTTTCAATTCCCCCTCCCTATGCAAAAAAGGCGTAAATCTGGCTAACTCATTCCTAAAACCTTGGTTTAGATGTCCCTATTCAGACTAGATGATCTTCCTATTTGTAGCCTATCTTGTAATTGCTTTTTCAGTTGTTACCCACTAGAATTGTACTACCTCTAGGGGCAGTGACTTCATGTTGCATTCCAAACGGCTGGCAAGGTAGGGCCTAGTAAATACATGAGGACAAATGGGACAAAGAAAACCTGTGCTGGAATCAGAAGAGCTCCAAGGACTAAGCTGTCTGTTGTGGGCAAGGCAAAGAAGACAGCTGCATTTGGGCTGCCTCCCCTTCTTCACTCCCAGCTTAGAATCCTCAAAAAGTCAAATCCAGATGACTTCTTGGAAGGCCTTGGGGTAAGGAAGTGTGTTTTCAGCTTTCCATTCACTCCCCACAGAAATAGCACTCTTTCTTGATTCATTTAACTAACATTTATTGATGCCGTATGTGTGCGAGGCATTGTTTATTGGTAGCTAAAATCTTTACCTGAGTCAGAACCATTTTAAAATAAAACATATTTTAATGTGTAAAAACTGCTTGAGAACATACTTTGACTCAAACGTCTTCAGACTTAAGTCAATTAACTGGTATATATAGTTGGCTTCTGGTTACGTTTTGTTTTTATAGGAGGAATAAGAACCCCTAAGTATTGGATGCAAGAAGTGTAGATGAGAAGTTAATTTGAAGAAGATATAGAGCTGCAGAAACAAAGATTGAAGACCAACTTACACTTTACCAATTTTAACCAGAGGTGCCCTTGCTTAACCTTTTCGTTTTAAATAATGGGGACAAATTGAGTCTGTACATGGAGAATTTTGTTCTTGTGTGTATTCGAAGGTAATTTTTGTCCATAAGTGATAAAGGATTTAAGAAAAGAGTTCCTTTGGAATTAAAAATTGAGTTTTTACTGCATTGGGGTCCTGCTAGCTAAAAATATGAGAAAGAATTATGAATAAACATGATTCTTGCCCTTCGGGAGCCTAAGTTTATTGTCTGAATTGATTGCTGACATAATTATTTCCCAGAGAAAGTTTTAAGATAACGTGTGTGTGTGTGTATGTGTGTGTGTATTTATATGTTCTTAGAATGCTTTATAAAATCAATTTTTATTTTTTTTATTTTTAGTTTTTTTTAGAGACAGAGTCTTACGGTGTTTCTCAGGCTGCAGTGTAGTGGCGCAGTCATAACTCACTGCAGCCTCAAACTCTTGAGTTTAGACAGTCATGCTACCTCAGCCTCTTGAGTAGCTGGGACTACAGACATGTGGCACCATGCCTGGGTTATTTTATTTTTCTAGAGACAGGGTCTCACTCTGTTGCCCTGGCTGGAGTGCAGTAGTGTGAACACAGCTCACTGCAGCTTCAGCCTCCTTGGCTCAAGTAGATCCTCCCACCACAGTGTCCCAAGTAGCTGGGACAACAGGCACATCCCACCATGCCTGGCTAATTTTTAAAATTTTTTGTAGAGTGGGGTCTCATTGCGTTACCCACACTGGTCATGAACTTCTGGGCTCAAGCAATCCTCCTGCGTTGTCCTCCCAGAGTGCTGGGATTATAGACGTGAGCTACGATGCCTGGCCTTATTTTATTTTTTAATCGATGAATGATAGATGTACATGCTTTCAAAGTGTGATAATTTAATACATTCATATAATTTGTAAAGATTAAATCACTGTACTTGGCATATCCAGCACCTTAAATATTTGTGTTTATGCTATAACTATTTGAATTCTTCTAGCTATTTTGAAATATACAATGGATTATTGTAAACTACGGTTACAGTACTGATCTGTCTGACACTAGGTCTTATGACTTCTATCAAACGTTTATTAGTACCAATTATTCAACGTCTCTTCGTCCTCCCCACCAACACCCTTAGCCCTCTGGTAACCATCAATCTACTCTCTATGAGATCCACTTTTGTAGTTCCACATATGAATGAGAACATGTGATATATTTGTCTTTCTGAGCTTCGCTTATGTCACTTAGAATGACCTGCAGTTCCATCCTTTTTATTGTTTGTTTATTTCTTTCTTTATTCATTTGACTCAGAATCTCAAAAAGGCTGGAATGCAGTGGCCTGATCTTGGCTCACTGCAACCTCTGCTTCCCAGGTTCAGGTGATTCTTGTGCCTCAGCCTCCCGAATACCTGGGGTTATAGGCGTGTGCCACCATGCCTGGCTAATTTTTTTTGTGTGTGTGTGTATATATGTGTGTGTGTGTATATATATGTGTATGTGCATATATATATGTGTGTGTGTATATATGTATGTCTGTGTATATATTTAATAGATATGGGTTTCGCCATGTTGACCAGGCTGGTCTCAAACTCCTGGCCTCAAGTGATCTGCCCACCTTGACTTCCCAAAGTGTAGTTCCATCCTTATTGCTGCAAATGGCAGGATTTCATTCTTTTTAATGGCTGAATAATATTTCATTGTGTACATATACTACATTTTTTTCATCCATTGATGGGCACTCACTTAGGTGGATTTTATTATCTTGGGTACTGTGAGTAGTGCTGCAATAAATATGGGCACATAAATGTCTTTTTGATGCATTGAATTCCATTCTTTTGGATATATACCCAATAATGGAATTGCTGGATCATATGGTTGTTCAGTTATTAGGTTTTTGGTTTTTTTGAGATAGAGTCTTGCTCTGTTGCCCAGGCTGGAGTGCAGTGACACAATCTCGGCTCACTGCAACCTCCGCCTCCTGGGTTCAAGGGAGTCTTCTGCCTCTGCCTCTGAGTAGCTGGGATTACAGGTGTGCGCCACCACGCCTGGCTAATTTTTGTGTTTTTAGTAGAGATGGGGTTTTATGTGAGACAGGCTGGTCTCAAATTCCTGGCCTAAGGTGATCGGCCTGCCTTGGCCTCCGAAAGTGCTGGCATTACAGCCCTGAGCCACCGTGCCTGACCAGTTACTAGGTTTTTGAGAACCTGCATACAGTTATTCATAGTGGTTGTACTAATTTACATTCCCACCAACACAGTACAATGGTTCCCCTTTCTCTGCATCTTTTGAGAACATCTGCTGTCACCAGTCTTCTTGTTAAAAGCCATTTTAACTGGGGTGAGATGATATATCTTTGTAGTTTTTATTTGCATTTTTCTGATGATTTGTGATGTTGAACATTTTTTCATATACCTGTTGGCCATTTGGTGTTGTCTTCCTTTTAGAAATGTCTGTTCATATCTTTTTCCTTTTTTTTTTTTTTTTTTTTAAGACAGAGTCTTTGGTGTGTTTCCCAGGCTGGAATGTGGTGGCTCGATCTCGGCTCCCTGCAGACCTCTGCCCTGCCTCGCGGTGTCAAGCCGATTCCTCCTGCCTCAGCTCCAGTAAGCCTGGGATTACAGGTGCGCACCACCGTGCCTGGTAATTTTTGTATTTGTTAGTAGAGATGGGGTTTTGCCATGTTGGCCAGGCTAGTCTCAAACTCCTGACCTCAAGTGATCCGCCCGCCCTCGGCCTCCCAAAATGCTGGGTATTTCAGGCATGAGCCACTGCTGCCTGCCCTTTTCCCCAAAAGGGTCTTCTTTGCTTAAAATTGTTTTGCTATTGGGTGTTTGTGGCTCCACATAAATTTGTAGGTCATTTTTTCTATTTCTGTGAAGAATGTAATCTGTGTCAGAAATACCAAAGACAGTCTTCACAGAAAATAGAAAAAACGGATCCTGGCCGGGTGCTGTGACTCACGCCTGTAATCCTGCACTGTGGGAGGCTGAGGCGGGTGGATCATCTGGAGGCTGGGAGCTCGGAGACTTAGCGTGTGACCAACTGCAGAAACCCCGTATCTCTAAAAATACAAAATTAGCCCAGGCGTTCCCGGTGGTGGCACATGCCTGGTAATCCCAGCTAACTCGGGAGGCTGAGGCCAGGAAATCGCCGTTGTGAACCTGGGAGGTGGAAGTTGTGGTAAGCGAGATCTCAACCTTTGCACTCCAGCCTGGGCGACAAGAGAGTGAAACTCCATCTCATAAAAAAAAAAAACCTACCTAAAATTGTTTTCGGTATGGGCTCCATTTTAACCAATATTAATTTTCCCAGTCCATGAGGCCATGGACTATATCCTTTCCATTTTTTGTGTGTCTGCATTCAATTTCTCTTTTCATTCAGTTTATAGGTTTTTCCGTGTAGCAGATCTTCCTTCATTTTTGGTAAATTAATTGCCGGCTCGAGTCACGGTGGGCTTATTTCCTGTAATCCCATCACTTTGGGGGAGCTGGAGGAGGGGAGATCACTTCGAGGCAAGAGTTTCAAGACCAGCCTAAGCCAACACGGTTGAAACCGTGTCTCTCTAAAAAATACAAAAGAGATTAGCCGGGCATGTGTTGCCACCTGTTGGCCTAAGCTACTCGCGGAGAGACTGAGGCCATTTGGAGAATGGCTCTTGAACCCAGAGGACAGAGGCTTGCAGTGAGCAAGATGGCACCACTACGTCCCACCTGGGGTTAGCAGAGTGAAGAATTTCTGTCTTTTCCGAAATAAATAAATAAATAAGAATAAAATAATAAAATTAAATCCGTTGATTTTTTTTGTTCTTTGTAGCTGTTGTAATGGGATTGCTTTCTGATTTCTTTGGCAGATTGCTCACTGTTGGTGAGCATACAATGGTATATGCTGTTCTATACACCATTGATGTATAGAAATGCTGCTGATTTTTGAATGTTGATTTTGCATCCTGGAATTTTACGGAATTTGTTTATCCATTCTAACAGGTTTTTTTGGTGGAGTCTTAAGGCTGTTCTGAGTATACAGTCATATCATTTGTGAACAAGGCTAATTTGACTTCTTTTCCAATTTGGTTACTCTTTATTTTTTTCTCTTGCTTAACTGCTCTGGCCAGGACTTCTAGTACTGTATTGAATAAAAGTGGTGAAAGTGGGCATTCTTGTTCCAGATCTTAGAGGAAAAATCTTCAGTTTTTCCCTATTTAGAATGACGATAGCTGTGGGTTTTTCATAAATAATCTTTATTATTGTGAGGAATGTTCCTCCTATGCCCAGTTTGTTGAGGGTTTTTATCATCAAGGGATGTTAAATTTTATCAAATGCTTTTCCAGGATCTATTGAAACTATTGTATGGTTTTTGTTCTTGTTTCTGTTAAGGTGATATATCACATTTATTGATTTACATATTGTATTCGTCTCTTTTCATGCTGCTGATAAAGACATACCCAAGACTGAGCAAGTTACAAAAGAGGTTTATTGGACTTACACTTCCACGTGGCTGGGGAGGCCTCACAATCATGGCCGAAGGTGAAAAGCACATTTCACATAGCGGTGGCAAGAGAGAGAATGAGAGCCAAGCGAAATGGGTTTCCCCTTATCAAACCATCAGATCTCGTGAGACTTATTCACTCCCGTGAGAACAGTATGGGGTAAACCACCTCCATGATTCAATTCTCTCCCACCTGGTCCCTTCCACAACACATGGAAATTATGGGTGTACAATTCAAGATGAGATTTGGGTGGGGACACAGAGCCAAACCATATCACATATGTTGAACCATCCTCGCGTCCCTGGTATAAATGCCACTTTATCATGGTGAGTGATCTTTTAGTGTGTTGTTCAATTTGGTTTGCAGGTGTTTTATTGAGAATTTTTGTATCTGTCTTCATGTGTGATATGGGCTTGTGTATTTTTCTTGTTGTTGTTTTGTCTGGTTTTGGTGTCAGGATAATGCTGGTCTCCAGATGAGTTTGAAAGTCTTCCTTTCTTTTCAATTTTTTTTGAAGTGTTTGAG